ATTAGAGAGGTTGCTCCTTAGTTCTCGGTTCACAGAGCTAAAGTTAGCCGAGCTCCTGCCTGCCTCCTGTGCGCTGCCAGGCAATCCCATCTGAAGCTGTGCGGTAAAGGACGAGTGGAAAAGACCTCTTTCCCCTCGCACACGACGAAAATCAGCCTGTTGTTTCTTTTCTTTGACCTCAATTACTATCAGGGCACGTGTTACTGTAGGGGCATGTTGAGTCATGGCTACTCTGGGAGTTAGGTGTGTGTGTTCTTGTGTGTGTGTCTGTGACAGTGATTGTGTTAATGTTAGCCTGGGAGGCACCGTGCAGTCTGTGGGGGCCAAGGTGCTTTAGTCCTGGCTGAGACGAGTGTAATGCTCGGGGCGAGAGGGAGGGGAGGAAACAGAAAAACGATGTTGGACATGACCGGAGTTGTTCTGGACACATTTAGGGGGGAAAAAAAAACACTTAAAGGACGTTTTTTTGAAACAATTTAGCTAATCTAATGTACAATAAAAAGATACAAACTAGTGAAACAACACTGAAGGGGCTAGCTTCAGTGGAGTGGATTTGACTGAAGAAACTAATGTCGTAATTTGCACACCAAAGTGGTTTCAAACATAAGACCTTGCCTCCCATTTCCTTGTTTTTTTCTTTGCAACGGCAATGCACTTAATGAATTGAAGTAGTGATTAATAAGAGGAAAGTGCTTGCTGGATGGAAAGACACTTCACCCCGGTGTTCTGAGTATGTGAATCAAGCCTTTATGGAGTGATGGCACCGTACTTGTGTTTTGATATGTGTGTGTGTGTACGCAAACATGAGGTTACTGTCCGCTGGACTTATATCACAAGGGGCAGGAAGCTGCTGCGCTCTGCACATTCCCTCCTCGATCGAGAGGCCGATTTATTAACTTTCACGGGTATTAACTCTCACCGTGTCAATACATTGTTAGCGTAGGGAAAGAAGAAGCGATACACTGCTTTTCGATTTCACCAGGAGGATGCAGCTTCCCATGGAAACTGATCAAATATTCAACATGTGAGCCGGATGTGCTGCAGAGCCTTATTATGCCTGCACTGTATCTGGTCCTCCCTCTGAGATCGTTTGTTAACACTGAGGAGCTCATTTCCCCGCAGGCATCACGAACACTTTGACTGACGGTTTGAAACTGGCATGTGCCGCCCAGCAAACCTCCATCAGTCTCTCCCCCTCTGCAGGAATTAGCTGCCAATTAATGTCTTCAAATGTGTGTCAGTGCACGCAAAAACAAATAGCTCCTTCATCCAACGTGTTGAATGGATATCTGGCTCCTGTCATAATGATTCACGCTAATTGTGCTTAGCAGCATCGTTGGTCAAAAGTGTCAAAAGCCATCAAGTGGATTTGAGAAGTTTGTCACGGTCAGATCATGAATTCTTCCCGCGGAGGAGCTATCTGTCATCCTGCTGCTCCTTCAGTGCAATGTCTTCTTTGCTCTCATTTTTAAAGCTGTCACAGAAGAGGTCTGACCACGCTGGCAATGCAAACAAGAGTGATGGCTCTGTTTCCAAAAGCACAAATGTTTATTATGCTGCGTTTCACTTAAATGCTCTTTGTGCAGAGTTCTTTGAGAGTTCAGTTATTGGATGCTTTTTTGCATTCTGTTTAAAAAGCCTTTGAGATTTCGCTTGCCTTCGGCCATATGTAAACGTAATTTACTTGGGAGAACAATTTGCCTGAACTGTTTCTCACTTCAAGATAAATATTCCCTCATGCATTATTGAACATTTTTAAGGTTGCAATTCAAAGTGTTCTTGCAAATGACTTTCCCTGCGGAAAAAAAAGTCATTTATTGCAAACTAGGAAATGGGTGTGACTGGCTGCCATGTGTCTTATCAAATAACTGTATCCAGATTCATGCGCTAATTAATCACCAGCTCCGGGGGCCGCACCCTTTCACAGACTTGGTAGAAAAAGAGACATTTGATGTGTTGAATCAGCTCTTCGTCGATCTTCCATGAATTCAACCAAGTTCATTTAAATGCATCTCCCCTCTCGCGCACTAACATAATGTTTTCAGATTGTATCATCTTCTGCTGAGCCTCTTGAATAAGATAGAATAACATATTACATCCTCACATATTAATAGCCTAAACATTTGTTCTCCTTTACTGGGAACATATTGGGCACTTTGCCAGACTTTCTACTGCCTAATTGCAGGGAGCGTGATTATTTATTGGGAAATTATCCGCTGCGTCTGAGCCTCCGCTGTTCAGCTGAGGCCTGATAGTGATCTGAAGCAAGTTGTGCTGTAAAGAGCTCACACACACACACACACACACACACACACACACACACACACACACACACACACACACACACACACACAGCACACACACACACACACACACACACACACTCAGTCATTCTAATAATGTGTGCTGGTTGACCTTAACTTTTTCTCTCCGACACGTCTTCTGAGGAGATTAAATGAAAATACAAGCCCCCTCCGGCCCCTGCTTTGTTACTAATGATGACTTTTAAATGTCATTGTGACTCTTCTCCGTCTACACTTCAGTGTCCGCTGGCTTGGAGAAGGTGATGTGTCATTGACCCTAGAATAAGCTGGGATTCTTAACACAAAATGTCTCCATGACTCTAAGTATTAACAACCCCGCGATCAAAACTCCTAACTTCTTTCCCCTTCAGAGTGATTTTTTTTTAAAGCTCTACGGGGGAGCGACATTTTCCAAATGAGCATTTTTTTTTCTGTCTGACCTTTCTGCTGCCCTTTGTGGTGAATAATTGCATTTTTTGAAACATTCATTTGTGAGTTATGTCATCTGCTAGCACCATGATTGAAAGCGCTGCTCTGTGGCGTGAATGTAATGGAAGCTGGACCCGTTAGCTTCCCCAAACGTCTTCTTTTTTTACTCCATATTCTGCAGTGCACCTGTCAGAAGAATTATCCAGGGAGGATCTGTAGAGGGGAAAAAAGAAATGCGCTCTGCATATGAATACCCCTCTGAAGCATTAGAGGGAGAGGGAGGCGGCAGAAAGTAAATGGACCTAAGATAAGAGGAGGGACTTTCAATAAGACTATTTCGATTTTCTGCGGCTCTGTTGATGATGTGCCCAGGTAGACAGCGATACGTGCAGCGAGGGGGAGGGGGGGAGCAGGATGCTTGCTCTGGCACGGAGAAATATGAGCCCTATCAATCACCGCCTCCAGGCACAAATGTAATTACACTACAGTTGTTGACTACGCGGGTAATCCGAGACACCACTGGCATGCGTTTACGTGCTTACATTAGGGGATTGCTGCCGCCCGTTGTACTCTGAGGTTTTTGTAACGCTGCTTTTTGGGACGCTGGCATGAATTTAGGGAATTATTCATAAAGAGAAACCACAGAGATCAAATTAGCCAGGATTCCTCATACATAATAGATTTGTCTAATAGCAACCATTTAACTGGGATCTTTTGTCTTTTGTCATCTAAATGCACCATACCCATGTTTTCCTTTTTCACTGCACAAGAAGTTTGCTGTGATCAAACCCATACTTTTTCAATGGGCGGAATAAATCTTCCCATTAAGAGGAAGATAATTGATGGCTTTCATCACCAGAATGAACACAATTATTCCAATTTGTGCTGTTTCCATGGAAAGCGTGCCTCTCTGTGTTGGGGTCTGAATGATTTTCTGAGACAAATGAAGTGACACGATAATGAGGGGCTTCTTTTGTTGTATATGTGTGATTTCTCTTTGGTAGACGATTAGAGTGGTACCTGCCTGGATGACATCTGAAGAAGGGAACATTGATATTGTGTACCGTAAAAGAGTAAAGTGTGGGCTCTTAAGAAGAAGGCTAGAAGTCTCTGCAGAGCAGAGAGGAAAGGGAACGTTAGGGGAAACATTACTACACATTTTTGCTGATATACTTTGTTTTTTATTTCAGAAAGAGCAAGGCATCTCGACACTTTGTCTTGTTGCAAATGTAACTTATGTCAGACATTGACATTGTTACCGAAGTGCATTCCTCTTAATGGAAGTGGTTGGGACTTTGTAACGTGTTTTCCCCTGTCGGCCACACACAGAAGAGTCCCAGGGAGAATTGTTCACGTTTTAAAAGCAAAGTTGTATTTAATGTTGCAGAGGTAAATGATATTGATTCCAGGTGATATTGCAGAGGCTTTTCTCACATGTGGCAACACTCTGTCGTCCATCTGTCCTCATGATGAATGTCTGCGCTGCACAGATGTTTATAAAAAACCCATAGCTGCCACAGTCCTCCTACAGTCACTCCGGCCAATGTTTACGCTCCTCGCTCATTTTTTATTCTCGCTGTAAACACAGAACTCCTGCAGTCTGTTTATGCACGAGAGTGTGAGTCTCTCCACAGACGTGCGTGGGTGAACATGCACAGCTCGTGTCAAAGAGAGGGAAAGCAGCCACCTCTGAGCCGCCGCTGTCGGCCTTCTGGACATTTCAACTCAGTGGTGCACAGATTTCTCCAAACACACTCTGAGGCATCGAGCACTTCTGACCCTCTGCCTCCTGCCCTTCTGCTTAAATAAAGCGCACCACATCACCTCAAAAGAGTGAAACAGCCCCGATGATTTATAGCTTCTAGTCTGCAGGGAAATTTACATGAGACACTCTGCTCCGGTTTCTTTGTCTCTGCGTTTTTGTCTGTTTGTATTTTCTCAGCTGAATGCCCATGTAATGAATGTTTATTTCCTCACAGCCACATGCATACAATGTGTCTGTTTCCTTATGTGTGATCTGTGTCAGTGTTTCACTCTCTGTGTCCCCATCATCACCAGTGGACAACCTCTCTCTCATATCTCAGTGTCAGAACTTTGAGATTCACCTGCAGGAATGCACAGATTTTCTTTAACGCAGGCGTCAGGATGAATCATTTTCACACTAAAGTGTAAAAGGTGAAGATAAAAAGATGGATGATGAGCGCAGTGGGCGACAACCACCTGTTGTAGTAATGATAGTGGGAGTAATACCTCATATTTCTGTTTCAGCCTTCAGTCGAGCGCCCGTCCCCATGGCGGTGGTCAGGAGGGAGCTGTCGTGCGAGGGTTACCCCATCGAGCTGCGCTGCCCTGGCACCGATGTCATCATGATCGAGAGCGCCAACTACGGGCGCACCGACGACAAGATCTGCGACGCAGACCCGGCGCAGATGGAGAACACGCGCTGCTACCTGCCCGACGCGTACAAGATCATGTCACAAAGGTAAGGGCACATTGCATTTTGGTAAAGTGTCAGGAGTACATATACTTGCTTTTTGGAAATTGTTACAAACATTTTTAATGAACAATCCCCGGCTAAAGTTTTGCCACGCTCAAGTTAGTGGTCCAACATCTTATCAAAAAAACGTCCAAATCTATTTAAGTTTTTTTTGTAAATGTTGTTATTATTAACAAAAACTGGTTTTCAATGATGAGATCATCCAACATGGATTTAACAACACTTTGTTTCCCTTCTCTTTTTGCTGTACTGTGTCCTAGAGCTACATTCAGAGCTATTTCCTGCAAAGGTCATTTTAAAGCCCTATGGGTATTATATTACAATAAAAATGATAAAAAGGAGGTTGTTTTTAGCCCATGTCAGAATAATGGAGTATGCCTATGTGCGTGTATTAATGTGTAAACACACACAGCCCCACTCAGTCAACATCAACTTGCTGCTGTTGAAGTAATTGACTGGAGTCGCCTTGTTCGTTAAAAAGATCTTGAAAACATAATCGAATCTGGACTTAATGAGAGATGCTGTAACGCACACCTGAGGAGGAGTAATCTTTTCTTTATGAAACAACTCTTCTCATTGATCTCACTTCAGAGACCATGGTGATGTAATGAATTTGTGCAAAAATGTCTGCAGAGATAAATATGAGGACTGTTCCTGTAGATTAGCAGAAAACATGAGGGCCGTGTTTACACAGTAAATCATTAGTGGCTTTGGGAAATGAATATAAACATCCGTCCTCTGGGTAACACATTCCTGTTATGGATAAATTGCATCACAGTAAACCTCTGCATACCTGACTGCAAATCTATATTAGTCATACATTTGCACACGAATCAATGTTCATATGAAATAATATGCAGGGTTTTGATAAAGCGATGCCAGAAAACAATATTTCTGTTCGTCAAAAGCAGTATAATTACTCAAAAAATATGAAAATTGTGTATTATTTAAGGTGCAATAATATTACTCAACAGCTTTGAGACATGAAGAAACTACTATTGTAACTCTCTAATTCATAATTTTTCTCGGAGAGTGGGCGGGGCCGTAATTTTTACTGGAAGTGACGTTAGCGCCCTCATACTTTAAAACCCCTGATATGAATATATCATATATTCATATCAGGTTTTTTTAATATATGATCAGTTTTTTTGTCAAAATGTAGACTCGATGACATGTCTATGTATACGAGTTTAGATGTATAACCTGGAGACTGATTTCTCCCTTTATTAAGGTTTTTGCAGTCAAATTGACTGCTAACATTAAGTTAATAGTACACATAATGGTATAGGGAGCATATATAATAAAAACACTATTGGCTATTTTTTTAACTTTTTGCTGCACTATTACTTTTTATGTCCAAAGCTTTAGTTTTCTCTTTGGATCCCTTTGAGAATACTATATACAGTGGGGCAAAAAAGTATTTAGTCAGCCAGCAATTGTGCAAGTTCTCCCACTTAAAAAGATGAGAGCGGCCTGTAATGTTCATCCTAGGTATACTTCAACTATGAGAGACAAAATGAGAAAAAAAAAATCCAGAAAATCACATTGTCTGATTTTTAAAGAATTTGTTTGCAAATGATGTTGGAAAATAAGTATTTGGTCACCTACAAACAAACAAGATTTCTGGCTCTCACAGACCTGTAACTTCTTCTTTAAGAGCCTCCTCTGTCCTCCACTTGTTAACTGTATTAATGGCACCTGTTTGAACTCGTTATCAGTATAAAAGACACCTGTCCACAACCTCAAACAGTCACACTCCAAACTCCACTATGGCCAAGACCAAAGAGCTGTCAAAGGACACCAGAAACTAAATTGTAGACCTGCACCAGGCTGGCAAGACTGAATCTGCAATAGGTAAGCAGCTTGGTGTGAAGAAATCAACTGTGGGAGCAATTATTAGAAAATGGAAGACATACAAGACCACTGATAATCTCCCTCGATCTGGGGCTCCACACAAGATCTCACCCCGTGGGGTCAAAATGATCACAAGAACGGTGAGCAAAAATCCCAGAACCACACGGGGGGACCTAGTCAATGACCTGCAGAGAGCTGGGACCAAAGTAACAAAGGCTACCATCAGTAACACACTACGCCGCCAGGGACTCAAATCCTGCAGTAGACGTGTCCCCCTGCTTAAGCCAGTACATGTCCAGGCCCGTCTGAAGTTTGGTAGAGAGCATTTAGANACTTACAGAAAACATTTTACCTCTGTCATTGCCAACAAAGGGTATATAACAAAGTATTGCGATGAACTTTTGTTATTGACCAAATACTTATTGTCCACCATAATTTGCAAATAAATTCTTTAAAAATCAGACAATGTGATTTTCTGGATTTTTTTTTCTCATTTTGTCTCTCATAGTTGAGGTATACCTAGGATGACAATGACAGGCCTCTCTCATCTTTTTAAGTGGGAGAACTTGCACAATTGGTGGCTGACTAAATACTTTTTTGCCCCACTGTAGGTGGCAACAGTGGCTAATTTTATGTAACAGCCTGAACAAATAATAGAACAATATGCATCCAAAACATATTACAACGTTTTAAAACCATGATACAATTATAGCAAATTAGGACCACTGTACACATATTGATACAACTGAAATGTCAGGGAGACCCCTGGGCTTGTTTGCCAGCCATAATAACGTTATACCGGGGCATTCGTTCCGGTGCACTCCGACAGCATTTATGGCTGGCAAACAAGCCCAGGGGTCTCCCTGACATTTCAGTTGTATCAATNCCGCATTTCTCTAACAGGGCTGCAAAAGAGGGGTATGAGCAGTATGAGGCATGGCTACAATGGGTGAACTGTTTGGTATTTTAAGCAAAAACCTTAAAAGACATGTTTTGTATAGGTATGGCCCTACAATATATTTTTCCAATATAGCATGATATGTCCACTTTAAGTATTCAAATGTTGATCAATAGATTATATTAGGAGGTACAGCACAATACAATAAATCAACGTAATTTACCATCCAATACAAACAGGACATATAAAAAAAAAAAAATTATCTGTCAAAAGTCAATTCAACTGAAACTAAATAATTCACATATAATTTAAAATGTATAAAGAAGTTAAAGGGTTTTGTAAATAGTATATAACAACTTAGGAGCTGGTTTCACACTATGAGTAATCTATGATGGTGTTGTTTTGCTTTACTAAAACACATCCTTCCAGATATAAACCCAGTCATAAAACAACCACAATTACTGCAGAAATCAGATTACTGCGCTCATGTAAGTGTTGTAATCACAGCATTACATTGTTTCCAGTGATTGGGTTATAGTGAGCATGTAAACATTATGCATGGAGAAGGAGACTGGGAAAGAAATAAAGCTAAAATATTAATGAAAGAGTGTTTGCATCACTGCTCTCATTGGAGATTATAAAGTAGACACGCTACTGAAGAAAAAAACATTAAATAAATATTGTGCTAGTAATTCTAATCAAAGCATGTTAATGGTACTTTCAACGTGTGACATTTCACGCATCACATTATCAGTCTAGATGAAATCATGAGAGTTAAATCTGTGCCCTGTTCTAACCTCGGCCTATCACGAGTCTTTGAAGACTTTCTCTGTTCAAATTGCTCGCTTCTGTTTCGCTCTCGTTTTCTTTTATAGCCTTAATGAGCTTAGCCGCAGGTGCCTAGCAACCACTCTGACAGCTCCACAATGCAAAAGTCGGGGGTGGCGTTCGTTTGTTGTGCTAACCTCCGCATGCTAATGTGTGGCCGTGTCACTGCAGCCACAAATATCTCCGATCCCTCTCACCCCACCCCTGCTCTGGCAGCCATTCTCAATTCATACCACCCACACCTTTCATCCACTTCCTTTCCCAAGACAAAGTGCTCTGGCTGCAGCTACCTTTTAGCATCATTGAAACGCCCCCAGTAGCTACGGGATGCTAAAGAGTCTGTTTTTTTCCCCCAGGTACTTCATGTTAGTTTTGTGTCGGAGACGGTAGCAGGACCCGTTGATTCATTCCTGCAGGGACTTTCAGTCTGAGTTGGCGGCAGAAAAAGAGAGCCACAGGGTGCATCAATTATCCGACAACATGTTTCAAACTACCATCAGCTGCTTTTCAGACCGCTGATTATATATACTGTGGGGCAAAAAAGTATTTAGTCAGCCACCAATTGTGCAAGTTCTCCCACTTAAAAATATGAGAGAGGCCTGTCATTGTCATCCTAGGTATACCTCAACTATGAGAGACAACATGAGAAGAAAAAAATCCAGAAAATCACATTGTCTGATTTTTAAAGAATTTATTTGCAAATTGTGGTGTAAAATAAGTATTTGGTCAATAACAAAAGTTCGTTATATACCCTTTGTTGGCAATGACAGAGGTCAAACGTTTTCTGTAAGTCTTCACAAGGTTTTCACACACTGTTGCTGGTATTTTGGCCCATTCCTCCATGCAGATCTCCTCTAGAGCAGTGATGTTTTGGGACTGTCGCNTTTTTGCTTAAAATACCAAACAGTTCACCCATTGTAGCCATGCCTCATACTGCTCATACCCCTCTTTTGCAGCCCTGTTAGAGAAATGCGGATTTTGGGTCCTTAGCTTGAAAAAAAAGGAAGAGGAGGCGGAGCTAATGCCTGATCAGAATTCTACCGGAGATAAAGTTAAATTCTACTGTGATAAAACGCCATCCTGTTCTAAACCACATCAAAGATTATTTCTGAAATAGTATGGAGCTCAAATGCTTTTTCTCTTGCAGGTTTATCACAAGGTGAGTTCCTTTTTTTATTTCCTGCTTTTTAAACACATGTGCTCTTCAGTACAGGTCAGCTCTGAGTGTTAGCGAGGCTTGCTAATGTAAACAAAGACGAGATTACATCCAAAACACGTCAGGCATTGTTTCTGATAGCAACTTTCTGTGGGTCCGCTGCCGATTTGACGTCAGATCGGCAGCAAATCTGTATCCGCTCGTTGTACACCCGTTTTTAAAAGATTTGGGTACGGAGGAAAAGAGAGG